GACTATAAATAAATAATGAGGTTTTTATTGTTCTCTCCAGGCCTTCAGTAATGTCTGTTTAATTTACGCTCCTATTCCTCCAGGTTTGAGTCTCCATGGGGAGTGAAACGATTGCTCTACTGAGCATCTGTCTCAGTGCGTGTCTGGCATTCAATGTGGACACTTCGTTTCCGGTGCTGAAGACAGTAGAGGGCAAGAGTCTGTTTGGATTCTCTGTTGCTCTGCATGAGGATCTGGAGACAAGGGACTACCTGTGAGTGAACACGGCCCTTCTAACTACACTGCAAAAATGTTGTAAGAATGAGTAAATATTTTTCAAAATAAGCTTATTTAGCCTTAATCTGAGTAAGAAAATAAGATGATCTACCACTTAAAATAAGATAATTTGATATAATGCACTTTGAATAAGAGATTGTAGTTGTTTTTTCTTATTTTAAATGTAAATAGTCCTTTTCCATTGGTCCATTTCCATTTATTTTCAGAAAAAAATGTATTACCTAGATTTCCATATTCTTTCTGTCATGGTTTTTGGACAGTAAGATCTAAAGAGAAGCGTTATCTCCTGGTCAGATCCTGTAATTCTGTGAAAGGGTGGAGTCAGTAAAAAAATATGCAAGAGGGGGGTTACTATAGTGGCTGTAAGTCGGAGGTGATTTTGCTGGGAGTTACAGGGAAGTGGTCTGCCATTCGACTGCCGTTTGACAGGGAAGGGCCATTTTGAATGGCTGCTACTGTGTAGCTGTTTCTAACAAAAACAGCACAGATCTATCCCTCTAATGCAAACTCAAACCCTCCAGGGCCGGTGTCCAGCTATTTTTAGATTTGCCCTTTGCCCCAAGAAGCTCAGTCAAATCGTCTGTCAAGCTCTGCTAATGAGCTCCTATTGGAGTCAGGTATGTTGAAACAGTGACACATTTAAATGTTGTTCAGCCTGTCATTGCTAGGCTGTCTCTGTTTTTGTCCCTCTCTCAAAATAGTCTTCAAAAGCTGCACTCTAATTGGCCCTTTTATGTTTGTGCTGACACTTATGCGACCAAATATGCAGCAGTGGTTTCATCAGTTTCCTCCAAAGGGTTGAAGTGTTAACGCCTCACAGAGGCAGAGCTGTGGTCTGCAACTAAGCATTTAAACACCTGAGAAAATCAATGCTAATATTTGGTATAGTAGCCATTGTTGGCAATTCAGGAGGTCTAACGTTTCCTGTAGTTTTTCAATAGGTTTGCACACACTGCAGAAGGGATTTTGGCCCACTCCTCCACAAAAATCTTCCCTAGATCATTCAGGTTTCTGGGCTGTCACTGAGAAACATGGAGTCTGAGCTCCCTCCAAAGATTCTCTATTGGGTTTAGGTCTGGAGACCGGCTACGCTACGCCAGAACCTTGATATGCTTTTTCCAGACCCGCTCCTTGGTTATCCTGCCTGTGTTCTTCGGATCATTGCCATGTTGGAAGACCCAGCCTCCGTCCATCTTCACTGCTCTAACTGAGGGAAGGAGGTTGTTCCCCAAAATTTTGCAGTCGCCCTGCCCATGTGCAGAAAGCCCCCCCCCCCAAACCCCCCGGCCTAAATAATCTTTTTGGTGGAATTATGACCAAAAAGTTCTATTTTGGTCTCATCTGACCACATGGCTTTCTCCCATGACTCCTCTGGATCTTCCAAATGGTCATTGGCAAACTTAAGATGGACCTTAACATGTGCTGGTTTAAGCAGGGGAACCTTTTGTTCCATGCAGGATTTTAAACCATGACGTCTTAGTGTATTACCAACTGTAACCATGGAAACGCTGGTCTCAGCTCTCTTCAGGTCATTGACCAGCTCCTCCCGCATAGTTCTGGGCTGATTCCTCACCTTCCTTAGGATCATTGAGACCCCATGAGGGGAGATCCTGCATGGAGCTCCAGTCCGAGGGAGATTGACAGTCATGTTTAGCCTCTTCCTTTTTTCTAATGATTGCTCCAACAGTGGATCTTTTGTCACGCAACTGCTTGGCAATTTCCACAAACCCCTTTTGAGCCTTGTGGAGGTGTGCAATTTTGTCTTTAGTGTCTTTGGACAGCTCTTTGGTCTCAACCATGTTAGTAAATGGATTCTTACTGACTGTATGGGTTGGACAGGTGTCTTTATGCAGCTAACAACCTCAAACAGGTGCATCTAATTTAGGATAAT